TGTGACTTTGACAGTGGACGCCGGGATCGCCACTGTCAAAGCGTAAGTGCAGCGTACAAAAAAGCATTCTCTTGAACGCTTACTACCTTACCACCATAGCGTACCGCCGAAGTATGGTTCAGACAGGCCGAAAAAAGATCCTGTCGTCAAGCTGGCTCACTGGCTTACCAAAAAGCTTGTCCAAAAGCGCGACCAGATGGTACGAGATCCAGAGGCCAAGAAGGTATTCCTGAGGACTACTCTCTCATCTTGTAGCATTACCGACATTTCTCAGCGACAACAGGAGCTTAGAGACAAAACACGGGAAGCTGTGCGGCAAGCGATAGGCGAACGTATTGACAGGATGTGGTTGCTTGACGGCATTTGGATTGATCCCGCAAGCCAAGGTCAGGGGTATGGCGGCGCGTTGGTCGGCGCTGTGACTATGCTAGTAAGGCAAAGGGGGTCCCCCGGTTGCGCTTTCTGCTCCGAGGAGCAATGCACTAAAGTTCTTCCCGAATCGTTTTCAGGCCGACTGGACAGGGCATACGACGTGGCTTAAGTCCTCCAATCTTGAAAATACAGTGTTCTATAACAAGCATGGGTTCGAGACCATCCATACGATGCTATTGGGTGATGATAATCCAACGTGGCAAAAGAAACCCATTCCTATAAGCATCGTACGTCGTCTGGGTTTTCGTGTGGTTTTGTCTCCTAACGTGCGGGAATTAGATGACACGGGCGCCAAGGTGGCCCCCGTCTGTAGACTTGCCATCAAGTTGAAGAGATATCGGGCATGACTAGAAGGCAGAGAGTACCCGTATGTTGTATGAGTAGGGGCAGCAAGTGCGATAGTAGAATGCCTGTTCCAATTAAACAACATCTACATGTTGATCTGCCAAAAATGCCTCCTGGTCGCCTGTGTGGGTGTATGAACGGCGCTACTTGATGGAGTCAGAAGAATGATGACATGTGGAAGTGCTGCGGAGGCGCTACTTCTCCTCCTTCCATGATAGGTCCTCAGCTTAATGCGGTACTGCATCTCCCCGCAGCGGAAGCCCAGGTGACTTACGTCGAGGTGCCTCAACGCCCAGAAGTAAGTAATGCTGATCAGCAAGCGGCAAGTCGAGCTCGCTGTAGGCCCTGCCACCTGTTGCGCAGTCTCAGTCAACTCGCAGCGTATATCAGTTTAAAGCCTGATCCTTCAAGTCGCCGATGGGCAATAAAAAGACCGCTTCAGTTAGAGTTACAGCTGGCCGTTAAGATGGTCAAAACATTCAATTCGCCAATAGTCCCTTCAAATACGAATGTAGCGCGCGTCAGTGTGACGCAACTCAGATATAGCAAGGAAATCATACCCTTCCCATTAGCCTAGTACTCATGCCGCTTCAACCAGGAGACATTCTTCCAGCAGTAAAGACGTTCCAAATGACATTTGCGCGGGATCCCATGATTCGTTACGTTGGAAATGTAGGTATCCCGATGTACATTGGCTGCCTTGCTTACGACGCTCTGGGATGCTTCCAGGATCGCGAGCAGAATCGTGCTGAAATGGTCATGGAACGCTTGTTGGTTGTCGTATATCTGTTCTGCGCTATACGCGCGGGCATCGCCTTGACTGTTGATGCAGGGACTGCTAATGTAACAGCGTGAGTGAGGCGGATGACGGACAGAAAGCTCTGCATCACTCACCATTGTCTCATAATTGAATAGTTCGCCACCGAAGGACACAACAGGCGGGCCTAGAAAGAACCTGGTCACGAGGATTGCAGAACGATTTCTGAAAGTGCTCACCGAGAAGCGTAAGGAGATGACGCGGGACCCAGAGGCCAAGAGGGTATGTCACAACATGTTCCGATATCAGGAGTACTCGTCTGTTAAACATTCTCAGCGTCGCAACGAAGTCGATGATAAGCTAAGGGATGCGCAAAAGCGAGCGCTCGGCGACCGCGTCGACAAGACGTGGATGGTTGGGGACCTATGGACTGAGCCTGCGCACCAGGGTCATGGATATGGAGGCGCCCTGTTGGATGCTATGACCGTATTGGTGAGAGCGCGATGTTGTCCTGTGTTCTGTTACATCAACTCTGATGCGCCAACAACTCCACCCTTGTTTTCAGGCGGACTTGGCTGGGCAGGCAACATGGTTGAAATCCTCCAACTTCGTAAACACGTTGTTCTATGAGGAGCGCGGGTTTAAGGTGATAGAGACTGTACTTCTAGGGGACCAGAAACCGACGTGGCATGAGAAGCCTGTGGTCGTCAGTATTGTGAGTCTTCTTCCAAGTACGTGGTACTTATTGTTCGCTGAAGTACGAATATCAGATGATACGAAAGCCAAGTTGGCTTTTGCCTGCGTAATAGGTGTTATAGGTAACGTCTAGTTGGCGATAGTGCGTAAGGGTAATCGACTGAGGATGCATAAGTTTGAATACCCGGGGGCGTCTCGATGTCGATAATGGTATTTCTCACCAGAGCAGTTGCACCTATTTCCTATGTAACCCCATGTCTTGGGTTCAATGGCACTGTCGTCTTTGTTGCCAGCGACTCGATAGGTTGTTTGAGAATCTATGCGAGCCTTTCAACAATAAAAGAGTCAAGAGATGATCAAACAACGAAGAGCTAGGAACAAAGTCGAGCGCTCTACAACGAAAATCCTGGGGAATAAGCCCATTTGATTACAGTTCGTTACACTGCGCAATAGATAAGTACAGGGAAATGACAAGGCCCACCCAGTCTCAGAGCGTAAGGTTATACTCGTACTCGTTGCCGCCACTCTGGGCGATCCAAAGTACAATAGCTGAGAGCATGAGCGCGATATTTTGCGAAACGTTCGCGTAACCGTAGTATGTAAATTGTTCGGGATATCCGTTGAGGATATATTTGAGGATCAACACGGTCTACGGAGTCGGTGTGATGAGTATAAAGTCCATATGAAGACCTTCTGTCCACTTACCACGCTCCCGGCAAGCCCGCCAGCCATAAGTGCGAATCCGATGAACAGGCTCAATCTCGCCCTCCACACCGCCCTAGAGTCTCCAAAGCCTTCGTCTCCGCGAACTCGATCCTTGTCAATGATGGTGATGACCAGGTATCCCAGAAGCGAACAGATGCCAGGTATCCAGTCCACGAAGGATACGTGAACAGGGGGCGGAGTGTCCGGCTGCCCCCATGGCGAACGTGCATGCGCTGACAACACAGCAGCGTCCAAGAATGTCCAATTTGCTAGCGCGAACTTCGAGCTCGTCGTCAGTTCTGACCGGAGTCACCAATGGTTTCGGCTTTACTCACCAGAGCGCCGGCCAGGTAAACGCCAACCGTTCGACGATGCTTCCCAAGCGAAATTTCAGGGAAGGGGTTCAAGCAGACCCTGCGGGGATCGTAGTTTGCTCGTGGCAGCGACATTGTTGGGAAGAGCCTCGTAGTCGTCGGCTGCGGCGATGAGGGAAATGGGTGTTGTGACTGTGATGGTGACAACACAGTGGTGACAGTTGACGGGCCGTGTGAATTTCGGCCGGAGTCTTCCACGTTAACTTGCGTTTCTGTTTCAACCCGTATGGATATCGGAAGGGGCGGTGGTCTGGCGCGATTGAATAGTGGCATAGTGGGTGGTAAATGGAGGAACAAACTCTACTCAACGAACTCTTCGATCCGATAATAGAGGTGACGTTGACAATTCCTCCGTACAGTTCTCTGACGGCAATCACCATTGCCAGGACTTCTCTAAATTTTTCCTGACGTTGAGGTGTACACAGTACATGTAAACCTCCACGTGCAAATCCTGGAGGGCCTCTCTGATTGAACTTGGAGCTCTTGGGGTCTGTCGACCTTTACCTTCCCCTGGAGTCCCCTGGCCATTGCTTCCCGCAATTGAAAGCAAGGATTCATCATTCATGCGTCCAACCGGACACGAAGGCTGATGGAAATTGATTATACCACCTTGCTAGGACGTTGCAACAAGAACTAACAAGAAGCGCCGAAAAAACTCTGCCGACTTTCGCGGTCTCAACTGGCCCAATTCATCGGAATAACACCTCCCCGCTTTTCGAAGACGGCTGCACCAGATATATGTTGGACACGACAGATAAGTTATAACTTTGGTACAAAGGAATCACCAGGGTTCAACTTGCCAGCATCAACCTTCCGATTTACAGTTGGTCCCACTTGCATCATCGTCTCTTGACATGGATAACGCTCATCTGTATGCTCGATCCTGGAACTCAGTCTGACTCTGGCCCCAGATCTCACTACCTAACTTCTAGAGCAATGTCAATCGCGCCGAGTTCTCGATAGGACCCGCATCATCATATGACCCAAGCCCACTGCCTTAACGTCTTGAGTTTGGGCAATACAATCGTCGAGAAGCCATCTTTAACGTTCTCTGTATGCTGTCATCTCAGCACAACTTATGTCCCGAGATCTCCGTCCGTTCTTACTCCAGTATGAATCTGACATAGACGTAAGTAGCAGAACTCATCGTACTGTGACGACACCAGATCCAGCGTCGCGCAGGACGGCGGCAGCGGCACTCCCTGCCCCAAGTGCACCCAGAGCGCCGGATTCTCGGCTGCTCAGAGAGCGACGTGTTGTACGCAGTGCAGGATCCTACCGAATGCGAACATTCTTGGTGTCGGCTTTGTGAACCCCGGTGCACCGAGGACGTTGATCGAGGCGATGACGACGGATTTCGGAGTACTGTAACATGAGTTCTCGCTCCTGTTCCTGATGAGGCTTGAAATAAATTAAAATAATCGCTCTCACTAGTCCCCGACGCGTAGTTTGATGGGAACTCGGCCTTTCTTTCCTCGGCCTTCATTTCTTCCTTCCTGCTTCCGATCCATCCTGTGATTTTTTGGCCAGACCTACATGCGTCAAAAACAATGAAAGCACTGTACTACGGCCTTGTGGACACTTGTTCCATCTTTGACTCTTCGTCCTTTATAGCCGCAAATTGCAATACTCCATCCTTGGAATTCTTGCCAGTAATTGTACCGTTTCCTGGTTACACAAAAGGTAAAAGATGAGTCGACCCAGGTTCGAACTGAGGACCTTCTGTGCACAACGCAGTCCCCTTTTATGTTAGACAGATGCGATAACCAGCTACGCCATCGACCCCTGTATGACAGAAAAGGCAGTTGCTCTTCACCGGGGCTATCTTTTTTACTCTCTAGCCGCCGTCCTGCAGAACCTCTGAAAGAAACCGTAAGTATAAGTCTCATGCCAAGGAAGAATCAACGCTCTCGACTACGACGGCGTTCTACAGATCCACTCAAGCTGCCCTCGTTATCGGGGAACCTTGTCAAAGCACGACACTCCAAGTCCTGAGTGGATTTTTGTCCGAAAGAATTGTCCGGCCATCCCTGACGTACGAGTAGATAATTCGACGGCAGCAATGTTCAAGATCTCAATTGCCTATGCGCACATCCTGGAGCAGCGATCGGGCAACCAAGCCCATCCACCTCGTAAATTTACGTAGAGTCCCTTGAAAGTCGAACGACTATCGTATAGTCCTTGAGCCTACCTGTTGTCCTGGAGAAGAACGACTCGCCGGTATGTGTTGCGCAGGAATTATACAGCTTTCCGCCGTGATTCTTCCTTTCCTTCAACTTTCCTTCTTCCTTTAGTAGACCTATGTTCGTCGTCTTTATCGCTGCTCATGTCTTGTATGCAGGCAAGCGCAGCTTGTAAAGTTGTGCTTCAATCAATGATGGACCATATAGTAGTACTACTAGTAGTAGTAGTTACTAGTAGTGACGAGCTTGTGCATCGTTCACGCACAAAGCAAAACATGAGTCGACCCAGGTTCGAACTGAGGACCTTCTGTGAAGCATGAGGCGATCACCAATGTTAGACAGATGCGATAACCAGCTACGCCATCGACCCATGCGTCTTAGCATTCCTTCCTGCCATCCGAACATTTTGTATGATACTTTTCACGGGATGGTGCAGCTGGTAAGGGCACTAGGAACGTCGCCCATCCCTTAGCTGTTCATACTGGGTTCAGCAAATTCGAGCATGTCAATGAGGCCGTGGAAGGGGTGCGCTTGAGTACACCTTTGGCTGGGTTGGCCATGGGTTGGGCTTCGAGGTCCAAGCTGAGGTCTGGCATGGTCGAGTACGTAGTGTGGAAGGTGATTCGACAGTCTGACTTTATTTGGAGTGGCAAGCAGAGGACGGTATGTCCGCGGGAAAAGGCATGGTCGTGAAACCGGGCCATGCACAAATTCGACACGAAAATGTGGTCGAGAGAAAAGGCATTGGAGTGTAATAACCGACAGCATAGTCCTCAATACTTCTTCCAGAAGATCCTTCCAGAATATCCTTTCCGTAAACTGTAGAAGCCCTTGCGGTCTAGATTTCGGCCACTCGGGATGAGTCCCTTCGTATCAGGCACTACGAGCGCTCACAGGTGTATCCGATAATAGCAATATGTTGCAATCGTATCAAAGACATGATTCGTCACGTTTCGACTCAAGCCTCAGATCATGATCCAAGGTCACCGCGTACCGATATGGAGAGAGCGTAAGCCTAGCAACGTTTCTTCCGAGTCAAAAACGGAAAACGGCAGGAGAAAGATTCCGGCCGGGACTGTTGAGGTCGAGAGCGCGAATGCATCTCGCATGAGGTTCGTCATGACTCACACATCATGACGCGATACCACCCACCGGTGTTCCAATCTCCTTGATATAATGCGTCTGCCATTCAGCCCCGCTACGCTGCAACTGTGGATAATCACATACTGTCGGCGCTAACATATCCCGACGCACCAGCGACCCAGGTTTAGGTACCATCGCAGGCCCACAATGATTCGGATAATCATTCTTTTTTTCGTGCACTGCTGGGACTTCACGTTGCATTTTAATTTATATTTGCATGATGATGATTTGTATGTCCACTCACCTATATACTCGATGGCGGGCATCGTACTCCCTCTCGTCGCATCGCGAACCAGGCTCCAACAACACTGAGACCACCGCCCGGTCCTCATCTGCATCGATAGGAGCACTGCAGATCATCTCGTATCAGGTATGTACGGATCCATCGACGATATACACCGTCAGCCTCATATCGACCTCATCACCGTTCCTACCACGGTCCAAATCCGTATTCGTCACCATTGATAGAGCCCTCGCCCGACAAGCCGCCTCGTAACCAGCGAAGACGGAGGTCGTGCTTCTGGTACGATGACGCGGATGACTATGATGATCACTCCTAACGGAAAATCATGACCGTCGCAGTGTTCGCTGATTATGCGTCGACGCTCCGCCTGTCCATGACCAGGCGCAGCCACAATATTGTCGTCCGGCTATCTGTCTCAGAAAATAACCCTGGAAGCGACCGAGAACACGGGCGCTTGCAGCCCACTTCAATTCACATACACAGAGGCTCGTAGCGCGAAGCCGATCTTGCTAGACGGAGACGCGCACTTGCGGTTGATGTTAGATCACGATGGGTTGAATTGACGTAGATTGGTGGGGTCATCTCTTCATCCCCTCCCTAGCCCTCTCCCTCCCCATCATCATCATCATCGTTGTCGTCGTCGTCGTCGTTGTCGTCATCATCATACCACCCTCTAGATCGGCGTGCGGGAACGCGGAAAGCATGACTCAGCGATGATAGTCGGGGAAACATCATGATCATACCCGTAGCCATACCCACACGTACACCAGTGTCTCCTGATTCCTCCTGCTTCCAAGATCCGGCGAAGGATGCGCCGGATGCTGATGCTATAGCCTTCGCTCCCTCTTGTCTTGGAATACAACAGATAGAGGGGGGGTGATGACGGTGACTATGATTCTCAAAGCACAGGAACCCAACGTCGAAAGAAGGAGAAGAAGAACTTGCTGCGCGCCCACAAACGAAAGCGCAAGACAACGAGGCTCGCGAGTGTGTCCAAGCCCTTGTGCGCATTATAACGGAACGAAGACCACCCAAGCCCAGGCACTCAGGAGGCGATGCAGGTAACCGTGATCCTCGAGTTCGATCATGATCGTTGGGATCCGCGGTGTCAGGCCTGCTTGTTTTCTGACTCGGATATGGGTGGGCCCACTACTAATACTACTATTGAGTACGATAGGGTTGAGAAAGATTCATCGTTTAAAGTTTTCAAAAGCTGTGCGTACATGATTTTGGTGGACTCATCATAAAAACCATCAAGAGACGCCGAGCCGATGCGGGACCTCCATATTAGTTGGGGTGATAGAGATGGAGGAGGACCGCGAACCCATCGCCTATCGTTTCTTGTTCTGTCCTTGTTGATGATAACATAGCCTACAGCCTGAGGTGGTTGCCAGCGATGACGCGCGCAATTATTCCCCAACGAGTCGCAAATATGGACCCACAGTGTACGCTGTGCACGTCTCCAAGCGACGACTAGAGTACGAGGGTGCTTGAGCCTTGGAGAGCGAAAGGTGCAATTTGCGGAACAAGGCCAAATTTCGGGGCGCGTGGTCGGATGGAATCTTTTTGGTGGGGCGCTTGATGCAGACCCGGAACTTGGAAGGCCGCGCTTCGCTGAATTGAGTAAGATTCCGGCGGAGGTGGGGTCGCGAGTAAGGCGCCGGAGTTGGCGAGTTATGGTGAGATTGACGCATGAGCTCATCAGTTTTTCTCACAGGGCAGCCAGGTTTGCCGGGATGCGACAGGTGCTTCAACTTGGTTTCGTTATGGGTGTGGTTTGGGGCTGGGTGGTTGGGCCGTAGATGGGAAGAACTCCGTTTGTCAGAAAGGAGGGCTAACTGGTCCATAGCTGGTCCATAGCGAGAGGAGGAGGAGACATGTTCGACCGCAGACACTATGCAAAGACTTCCGGATCACTGGCGATCATGGGACTCTGCGCCGGCGGACGATCATCTGATGGTCTTACAGCCACGTAGGGTCGAGCAGGCAGTCAGAATTTTCCAAGAGAACAAGACCGCATCGGAAGGGGAGGAGCGAAGATGAAGATAAACAAAGTTCCAAATCAGTCCACAAGGTAGTGGACGAAAGCAGAAACACGGTTCGCCCGAGACCCCATCAGCAGCTCCCCATCTCCCAACATCCTCCTGTTCGTTGGACACGCCTGTGCTGTGCGAATGCTTTAGTAGGCAACAGAGATGGAGAACAAGCTCACCAGATGGTTTCTAAGAGCAGAGGGTCCGGGGGAGGGGGAAGGGGAGAAGCGGATTTCGCATCAGAGATGGGTGATCGGGGTCCCTGAGGGTGCGAAGATGCCCTGATGATTGACCGAGGAGGGTGTGATATATAAACCAGCGAGAACAATAAGGCCCTTCCCCGTCCGCTTACCCTCCTTTTGTCCTCCTGCTTTAGGGAAACCACGGGTCTCTGTCACCCATCCCTCCAGCCACGTTTTTTGTTTGATCTTCACAGGAACTTATATACGACTCTGTCATGCCTGCTGTACGTCTTTCGCGTAGGAGACGTTCATCGTTAGCCATCTGTGAGTCGCGATTAGAACACGAGGCTTGTGTGTAGGATTGACACTTACCCCAGTGACCTCGTTCAACCCCGTCAAAGCTGGGATTTATGGAATCGGACGCCCAGTGACGTTCGCGCCCAACGTGACGCCCGTGTCGTTCGTCGACCCTGATGCCTGCTCATCCTCATCGACACCCGAGCCTGGCTCGCCCACGTCCGCCATCTTCCCACCCTCAGAGACACCGGCGCCGCCGCCAACGCGGAGACGGGTACCGCCGGGCAAGCGCCGTTCGATGGGTTACATTCCGAGACCGCCGAACGCCTTCATGCTCTTCCGCGCCGATTTCGTGCGTCAGAAGCATGTCCCGGGGACGATAGAGACCAACCATGGGTCGCTCTCCAAAATCATCGGTGAGCATTTCGGCTCTCATACCTTGTATTGCCGTGCTTACTCGTACCCAGGCAACTGCTGGCGAGCACTACCTCTGGAGGAGAAAAAGGTGTGGGAAGTCAAGGCCAAGCACGCAAAGGCGGAGCACAAGGCGCGGTATCCCGAGTATCGTTTCCGCCCCGTGCACAACAAGAACAAGGAGAAGAAGAAGGAGAAGCCCGTCACGACCGTAGAAGACGAACGCCGCTGCGAAGAGGTCGCACAGCTCTTACTCGAAGGCAAGAAGGGTGACGAGCTCGCTGCCGCC